GTGCCCAATACAAGCGCCTTTTTAGCTTTTCCATCACACTTCTTTGCTTCTTGTGCTGCTTTCTCTCATTGGAAAGCCTAGAAAATGTAGCACACTAATAGATGCCATATGGGATGCCTTGCAGTTTGATTTCGAGAAGGAAATCAAGGTATTCTATCATCCCTTTATTGCATTTGCAATCAGTCTCTTTTTTTGCAACCTTCTCTTGCACCTGCTTATCTATTCTGGACATTCCCTTATCTGTTCTGAAAATATTTTATTCTACATCTTCAAGGTGCCTGAACGGACATTCAACTCTTCTGCCTATACTTTTATCTAACAAGATGGATGTTTACATCTGCTGCTGCATGCCTCTTGATTGGGCAGATATTTCCCACACTGGGCCAGCTGATAAGTCACAGGACTGTGCACATTTTCTTTAATTACATTATAATTCCATCATAATAAACCAGTCTTAAAGGTTCTACATAAAAATGGAATGCCACACTCATCCAGAAACAGCAGAGTTGTAAAAAGATGCTAGAAACATAAGTACATTCCATGATGTTACATAGTCTTTAGGGATCAGATTGTGGCAAATATATGAAACATCTTTGGCCACAAACATTAAATGTGCTGATTATATATGCTTTCAAATCTTTTCGCAAATTTAGCTGTGTGAAAAATAAAACTGAAACATAAACACAAAAACCATTAGTGTTTATATCTTACTTGTAAAATGTTTGCATCTGACGATACTTTTGAGGTACTGCCATACATTTCATGTCCCCCTCATTTCTCACTGCTTGAAAGTCTCCACAGCAAAGTAATAAATCCACTTTTGTGTTCTCCTTTTTCTCCATAAACTGGATGGTTTCGTAGATCATATCCAGTTCACCATGGCAGCACCCTTCCACAGCAATTTTCATGGTGACAATATTATTGTAGCGAAGTCAGAGAAATTATCTTTTCTTATGTTGCCATCTATGGGAAACAAATAACACATTACAGAAAAACTAACACCACTGTGAAAAAAAAAAAAAAAAGGAAAAACATGTTGCATACCGCTAAAACATATATCCTAAGGGGGAGTGTAGAAATCTGCACTACTAAACAACAACAACTAAGTGCTTTTAAATTAAATGTATTAATCATCTTATGTTTTCATATCCAGGATGCTTTCTAATGTACGCTTTACATCTATTGATGACACCGTAACCAACGTAACAGACCCCAAACCAATTTCTAAATAATCAGCAATGGTATAAAATATCACTGCGTCTTATATGCTACACATTACAAAGTCTATTTCCAGATCATATATTAAATGAGTAACAATATAACCACTAAATTACAAGACGAAGAGGTTTCTTTGCTAAGCAGCGAATACATTATCAGTGTACATACCACAATATCCTGAAATCAACCACCTTTAATTTCTCCTTAAATTTTATAGTAGTGATTAAACCATAGCTTACAGTTCAATCACCCAAGACACATTTTTTTTTCACTAAATCAATGAGTGATGATCCAACTGAGCTATCCTTTCAGCTTAGATATACTGGTTTAAAATCTGCAAATCATTTCTCCACAAATTTCTAGTCTAGTGAATAAAATGTAATAAATGATACACATCTAGCAGCCTGTGACCCTGTTGTGTTGTTTCATCACAAACAACGAAACAAAAGCCAAACCATAGCCACCCACTGTTATGAGAGAGAGAGAGAGAGAGAGAGAGAGAGAGAGAGAGAGAGAGAGAGAGAGAGAGAGAGAGAGAGAGAGAGAGAATGATAAAGAATATAGGACAAACCATATTCACAAATTGATTGAAAGAAACAGGGGGTCACGCCTGTGAGCTTACAATTGAGCAATTACAGCACTTTTAAACAAAGTGCTTAGAGAGATAACTAATGAGCTTACAATCTAATAAATTCTTTCACAAAAAGATGAACTGAAAAAAAAGCTGAAACTGTAGCAAAGTTGATTCCCCCAAACCCAGCGATTTTTAAATATATATATTGCCCTCTCACTGGGTGACCATATAGTCCCCCTTTTTTCAAGTGCAGAATAGATTATGGACCAGGTCCTGCCAATTCAATGCACCCATCTACCCCACAAACTAATGCATCAACCACGTACTCCAATGCCCCTGACATACAAAGCTTACCAGAGCCCCAACATGATCACCTGCATGTACTGATGGATCAGAGAGCACGTCGGCTTCTGGCACACCAACAGGAAGTCTGGGAGGCGGCGCGCACTTATGACGTCGAGAATTGTTGTTTTTGTTTTCTTTATTTGAAGAAAGATGACACTGGCTTTCTCTGGAATATCTTGTGCATGTTTCTAACTGGCAGAGCTAACCATAGGTTATACAGCAGGCAGTATGGACTAAGGTTACACAGGACAGAGACAGACCCTAAAAGTGACACAGGAAGTAGGAGATTGGAACGCAGCCGTGGAACGCACGGAAGAAAGGAGAGAGTTCCGTGTATCTTCTGCGCATGCGCGCACTGTGCAGGATCTGCTGCAGCTCAGCTCTGATCAGCTCCATTACCTTGGGACAGTAAGTGAATTATTTCACGTTAATTGGCCTGCCCATGGAATATCTGTAGATACTGTAAGCCCCAACTAGAGGTTTGTGTTGACATGCTGGCTAATTCAGCACCAGAGAAGTGACAGAGTTAGAGACCCTGAGAAATCATGAGGGAAATACAGGGTATGGTGGGTTAGGTCTTGCCCTACTTATTTATTTATTACTGGTATTTGTAAAGTGCCAACATATTGCACAGTGCTGTACAATTGACAAGAGGACAATACAATATAAACAGACCAATGCCAATGGTAGAAGGCACTGCCCATGAGCTTACAATCTAAACTTCACACTTAGTTTTTTGTTGAGGGATTTTTCTGCCTAAATTGCTGTAGAAATATTTTGAACTGGGTTTATCAAGACAAAACAGGGGTACAAAAAATGGGTCGCAAGAGTATTCTGAGAACGGACAGCAGCTAAAATAGCCTGCCCTTCAGTGGGTTCCCGCTCAGAACTCAAGCTGGTTTTAGCTCATCTTGTGCCATTACAGAGAGAACATATCTGAAGCATATCAGACTGGTTCCACCCATACGGCAGTCCAGATCCGAAATGCCAGCAAGTTCTCTCTGCACGAGAGATACAGCAACCCCAGACGATCGTTTCAGCCTTGTTAGGCATCATCAGTGAGGCATAGCTGATATCTCCCTAGGCACCGTGAGCAAGGGGTCCACGTCTGGATTACCCTTTAAACTAATGGAGAGCAAAAAATGGGTCGCAAGAGTATTCTGAGAACGGACAGCAGCTAAAATAGCCTGCCCATCAGTGGGTTCCCGCTCAGAACTCAAGCTGGTTTTAGCTCATCTTGTGCCATTACAGAGAGAACATATCTGAAGCATATCAGACTGGTCCCACCCACACGGGCAGTCCAGATCCGAAATGCCAGCAAGTTCTCTCTGCACGAGAGACACAGCAACTCCAGACGATCCCAGGGGGATTGTTCCTTTATTGGCATTTTGTCTATAAAGTGTACCCCTGTTTTGAAAATGCTTTCCTATGAACTGGCTGAATGCGCGCGCGGCCGATGACGTCGCTGAGGAGGAGGAGAGCTCCCCGCCCGGCGCTGGAGAAAGGTAAGATTTTAACCCCTTCCTCTCCCCAGAGCCCGGCAGGAGGGGGTCCCTGAGGGTGGGGGCACCCTCAGGGCACTCTAGTGCCTGGAAAACGAGTATGTTTGTTTTCCTGGCACTATAGTGGTCCTTTAAACTTACATTTAAGGGACACTGTAGGCACCAAGACCACTTCAGCTCATTCAAGTGGTCTGGGTGCTGTGTTTTAGATCACAATAACCAAATTGAAAAACATAGTTGGTTTGGACATTTTTTCCAGTTTGACTATTGAAGCTTAACATTTAAAATTCACGTAAAATTCCATTTTGGGTTTATGCACAGAATTCCAGGACAAGATGGCACAGAGGGTGTAGAATTTACATTAGCCGTGCCAGAACTTTATTTTGGACTGGCTAAAAACTTTTTCGGATGTGGAATTACACTGCCAGCAGCTATGGGGTTAATCTATGTATGTACAGCGTTTCTTAGTAAAGCGCTTGACCACTTTAACCCCTTAAGGACACATGACGTGTGACATGTCATGATTCCCTTTTATTCCAGAAGTTTGATCCTTAAGGGGTTAAATCACTAAAGTGGTCATGGTGCTTGGAGTAACCTTTTAAAGAATGGTAACCCAATACAGGTGTTTAAACATGTTTTTTTTTTTTTTAGATGTTATTATTAAAACAAAGCTGTCAAAAATTTAAACTCCAATTCCCCATTCTTTCTCATCTTCCACTCTCTCTCCTGTCTTTTTGTTAACACACTCTCTGTGTCTAGTTTTTCTATTTGTTACTCAGTGACTCTGTTTACACATTTGTTAAATGCTATTATGTTGGTATATTGTGCAGTGTTCATGTTATTTAGTTGAACTATGTTTCAACATACAAATAATCAACACAAATACGTCGCTGGTAAGTTTATCATGCCAAAGCAGAAGTCGTTCTAACTCTTTAATGTCTAAATTAAGTTTTGCCTTCATGTCTATCTGGTTCCTGAAGATACTTTTTGATGTAAATTGATGCAAAAAGAGCATTAGGCTAATCCTTAAAGGAACATTTTGGCTCCAGTCCACCGTCACCGTTTGCCATCTTACTTACAGTATTAAAACAGTTTTTGAATGGTTTAACATATACATTCTCACTCCAGATGCCTCATCTTTTCTCTACTTGACCTCTTGGCTAATAGGAAAGCATTGGCTTGATGGCTAGTGATAGGCTAAGAGGATCAGCAGCCATTCTCAGTTTAGCACTTGATTATTAATTAGAAAACAAACAAGAGAATCTATAATGCCAGCAGCCATTCTGACAGGGTTATTCATTAAAGTGTAAATTGTCCAGAATGAGTCGGACATCGAAGGGAGCATGTCGGCTGAGCTCCCGCTGCATACACAGCGTTTACCTTAAAAGCATTTACTTACCCAGGTTTTGCCCAAAATCGAGCCTGGCACTTCAGTACAGCATGGGATAAAAAGCTGAAAACCCTTATTGCGGAAGGTTCCCTCGGTACCAGTGACCTTCTGCAGCCGCGGCCTAGGCCTAAAATGGCGGAGCCGCCTGACTTGTCTTATTCTTCCTCCGAGAAAGAAATCTTTGAGGCCCCTGATGATATTCCTCGAACACAGGGTCCAGCCGCTTCCCAACTGACTCAACGTGACTCAACAACAGATGGGCAATAAGGAGCTGATTCATCAACTACAGGCTGCCCATAAAGTCATGCAGGTCAAAAAAGACACCTGGGAGGATACACGGAGACTTAAAATTAGGGATGTTGCAGAAAATGTTGTCGAGCAATACCTGCCGCATTTTCCAAGACGCCTTCTGGTTATCCTACTGCCCCAACATTTTGCTAAAGGCATACAGGTTGATGGCTATTTCTGACTCGCTAAGTCAAGCAGGGCGCCATCTGGGACAAGTTGGCGGTCCAGGACGCATTGAAGAGCAAAGCACCCAGTTCAGTTTGAAGCAATGCAGTTCTTGCAAGACCTGTGCGGCTCTGTCTTAACCTGCAGAAGGTCCCGTCAGCAGGGCACACAAACCCTGTGTTCTTGCAGACGTTGACTACAAGTTGTGGCCCTCACATACCTTGATAGCTACTAAAGATGGCCACATACACCAATTATCCTCCGTGGAAGACAGTTTTCCTTCGAAAGATAGGCCTTACTCTGTCCACTTATATAATCATATAATGATGGGACGGGTTGCTCCTGGGATGTTTCTAACATAGTTCAATTTACTCCATACTCTGCAGTCGATTCCGGCTGAAGCAGGGATGGACACCTGGCTGCTTATACTATGTTGGACTGAACCTCAGATCGGTTCCAGATATTTTTTGTTTTCCTTTTGACCTTGTAGTTTCATGTTTATTATTGTTTGCTTTACTATGCTTAGCTCAGATGACATGGCATATATTGTGCCTACCCCTTGAGCAGCACTTTTCTCATGTTTTATAAGTATTTTTTTACCATATTATTTATAATGTGACAGTCTTCAGGCCAATAGTTTGCACGAACCTACTAGTATTGTCCCTGCAGTGTTGGTCCCAGGCCTTAATGTGCTCACTGTGCATCCGATCTTTGTGACCGTCCACCTCAAGCGATAGGCTCCGCCCCCAGGAGGTTAAAGTAAGTTACATCTGATTGAAAGTGAAACCTTTTTTTTACATGTAGGCATGTGAGTCACAGCCAGGAGAGGTGTGGCTAGGGCTGTATAAACAGAAATAAAAGTGATTTAACTCATAAAGGGCTGTGAATTTAGCGATGAGACTACAGAGGCAAGAACTACACACCAAAACTGCTTCCTTAATCTAAAGTTGTTTTGGTGACTACAGTTTCCCTTTATTGTAAGCAGCAGGAAAACCATTGTTTAACTGACTATCTATCTATCTCGGTATATGTGTGTGTGTGTGTGTGTGTGTGTGTATATGTGTTAAGGCTGATTTGACCCTCCCACCCACTCCTCTTTTACAACACTTTCTTTTTTCAATTCTATCTTACTTTATTTCTTCTTGGTGGGCCCTCTTTATTTACAGGCCTACCGTATCGGCACACCACAACCGACTTTGCTCATTTATACTATCTTACGTTCTCACTTGAACCTACTCCATATACGGCTAAATTGCCCCTTACACAAATATATAGTCAAAGCCACCAGCAGTTTAAGGCAAAGTGTGAGTAATCTTCTCTCTGTTTTTCAGTGGAGTCAGACCTAGGTGAAGATGATCTTGGAGGTAAGGGCTGGGATCCAGGAAGACTCTCTAGCACACAAAGTGGGTCACTTGGAAACTTGGAAGATGAGCTGAACAGAAGTCAGCCCCGTTTAGGGCTCTTAGATGGGGACAAAGAATTGGATGCCAAGCAAGAATTGGTAAATATGACCATGGATGCACAATTATTACTCGGAACTGCAGAAATACGATAGGAAACATATTTAACCCCTTAAGGACCAAACTTCTGGAATAAAAGGGAATCATGACATGTCACACATGTCATGTGTCCTTAAGGGGTTAAGCATCGAACCTATCTCATCCAAGTTATAGGTTATTGTATTTTTATTATCATTTTTTCCCTTGATTAAAGGTATGAGCAAAGGGATCATGACACATTTTAGGGACACACATCTAATCCATTTGCATTTGAAACAATACTAAACACTTATTTTAGTTATTGCATTTAGATGTAAGTTCATTTAATTTTACTTCTTTGTTAATACATGGTATTAAAAAACAAAATTGCACTTGTGGGTAAATATGTGTGACAAAATCTTGGGTTTATTCATTAAACGCCGAATTGCGGGGAGTAGAAAAACAAATTGCAAAATGTTTTGTGGAAGCTGACAATTTTTCCAAATAATAAATTTTTGTTTAAATTTTGCAGGGTTTAAT